CTCTCTCTCTCTCTCTCTCTCTCTCTCTCTCTCATTGTGTGAAAGTGCGATAATCATGTAATACCTAAAGCGATCGAAAGGGAACTTTTCTATTTGAATGCCAAATCATAATAAACTTCAATTCTAAGACATTGAATGTTGAATATTATTGATTATAAGTTATTTATGAGATAAATATATGAATATTTGAAATTCAACTTCTGATCCATTGATATGTCATTTCTTAACTGTCAGATCGCAGTGAAACCCGTCAAACGAAATGAGATTTTTGTAATCAATATCTGCAACACATAACACATATTCTCCACTTCTTATACAAAATGCAATTCAAATACTCTTTGAGAAAAAAGATCCAAAACACTGGTTATAATTTAAATTGTTGTTTCATTTATATTTTCATTAATATTTAAAATATTATGTTAAAATACATAGCATTAAAAGGGTTTCGCTGTTATTACTATCAAATTTAAAATCAAAATTCAATTTTTATAGCATTTATTGTATAATTTAGTCCTTAATTAAGAGTTTTGCTGAAAATAATAATTCTAATTATTTTAAGAGTTAATTAAAGGAAATAACGATTTCGTTTTCCTATACATTGAATCATATTTATGATTGAAACTCACGACAACTCACATAATCAGTGATACATAACACACGCTATTCACACAAATTGGGACAATATTTTAAAAATATTAGTTCATCTTTTGGATGCTTTTAGTAATTTTATATTTCCCTTTAATTCAAGAAATTATTTCTTTTGAATAACGGTTCAAAATTTTTTAACACTATTTTTAAAGCACGTCTTTCTTTCATTTTCTAGAAATTTTAAACAAAAAATTTACAAAAAATAATTATTTATAAAAATATGGTGGATATCTGTGTTCAGAGTTCGCAAATCCCTGAAGTCGTAACACAAGAATAATTTCCCAGAATATTATACAAGCCATAGACTGATGAATAATGACTGCCATATATATTATATGCAATATATTTAAAACATTTCATTGTGTTCTCACGGCTTATAATTTAAAGTTTTTATCGATTATACAAATATAAGAATCATATTTTTATACAAAATCCAAGACTTTTCTCTCTAATCGCAAAAGTGAATGAATCTAATGTAATATTTGTGTCGAAAAGCATTTGTTATTTACTTTTCGACACCTTTACAAATATGGGGGCGTTTAGTGTACTGGCAATCGTTAGATCAGCAAATATTCCTCGGATTTAAAGTTATTTTTTGTGTTTCTTTTGAGATATAGACAAACACTTCAATATAATTGCATTTGTTTTAACAAAATAGTCATTAATTATGTTTTTGTTACATCTTTTAAACAATTTTTTAAATATTTGTTTGAAATATAAAATATTTTTTAAATAAATAATATTTGAATAGTTTTTTTCATTAAATTTTAGATAGATTTAATTTTTTATTTTCTTAAATGCAAAATACATTTAAATAATTTGATTGAGTTTTCAGAAGAATAGTTTACATATTATTGTTTTGTTTCAATATTTATTTGATTCTTTGTTAACAATAAAATGAAGTAAATCTATGTTTTAAATAAATAATTGAAATACTTATAGTTTTGCACAATGTAGTTTATAGAATCAAGATGATTTTTGTAATTTCCCTGTTGTCACCAATATTTATTTTAATAAATATAATATTTTAATAAAATAACTAAATAAATATTTTAATAATAAATTAATCTTAAAATATATGGTTTATAAATTAACAGTAATATTATTTAACTTTCAATTTTGGTTTAAGCTATGCATTGAAAATATTATAAACTTTATATTAATAATACAGGGATTTCATTAATTGATGTTTTAGTCCTTATCGATAACTACAATGTTTTAGAATAAGTTAAATATTGTATTTTATTTCTGCTATTTTTTGCTAACATTTTAAATCTAAATCTTTATTTTTTTAGTAATTTATAAGAAGTGTATATATATAGCGAACAAAACTCTCAATCGGATTATTTTAAGCTGTATTCCCATAAATTGGATGAAACAAAATATTTAGTCATTAGATATATTCTTCGAGTGTCTCTAATTCTTATAGTACTTGAAATTATTGCACTCTTTATTGTTTTATATCAATTATAGCCTTTCAGAGCCTAATATCGTGAAACATATTATCCACACATGATTTCAATGTAAAATGTTTTTTGCCATAATTGCATAGATATTAGTTTGATCTGAATCTAAATGGTATTTGAGATGTGAGTACATACTATATCCAAGTTTGTAAGAATACAGCAAAATTCTTCGTCAGAGAAATTGTTCACTTCTTGTTATATATATTATTATTATGTATATTGTGTGACAAAATTGAAGAAATTAGTGTTGAAATGTGCAATAAGTGAATTGTGTGTCAGTAATATTGGCACAAATGCCGTCCAAATCACTGGACATTATTTTGGTATTGCAATAGAATTATCAGAATTTGAAGAGATTTTTAATTGAATAATCGTAGATATAATGCGAAGAATTATTACATATCATAGTTGTCTGCCTTCTGAATGAGTCGTTGGCTTTGGTTTCGCCAGTTTATGAGGAGTGCGTTATTCCTGTGAGTGTTTGGCCAAAGCCAACAAAATCATTGTCAGCTCTTTCTTATTGATTTTGCCGTCTCTGTTGTAGTCACAGCCCGAAAGGATCGCCTTTTGAAACTCTCCCAAGTCTTGTGCGTCATAGTCCTGGTAAGGAAGGGTCAGGAGGGGGTCAATCGGTCAGTCAGTCACTAATCTCTATATACTATACTCTATCACACCATTTCACTGCCACTTCACTCACACACACAACTAATTGTCACTTAAACTAATGGATTGTAAATCAATTGTATTGTTTTGTATTCTCTGTTTTTAAGGTTAAACCACTCCTAAAGTATTGAACAGTAATTTAGATGAAATGCGAGCGAAATAACTATGAGATCCAGAAATGAAGTTTCCATCGATTCTATGAGATTATCGTTTATTTAATTATCGTTTTTTTGGTGGAAAATCTTTACAAAAATATCTCTTAAGACTGTTTACGCGCCGCGAATAGTAAACACACTTTGATTTAATTTTCTATTAAATGAACTCAAAAGCTAACTATTTATCAGTTTTGAATCGATTTACAGCTAATCTGGTGTTTATATAAATAGAAATGTGTGAATCGATTGCCAGAAGGCTTGAGAACATTGCATTCAATGGCAGAGTACAGTACAGTGTAGTGTTAGGCCGTTGGCCAACAAACTGAACAGAGATGTACTGCAGTGTACGGCATATAAACTAATGACAATGTATGGTATGGTAATGGTTGGCATACCTTCTTCACCAATTCCAATAAATCCTTTAGAAATCCTTTGAGTTCTTCGTTTTCAATGGTTCCGTTCTTGTCCTAAAGAATGTCCCAATTGTTATATAACTGATATATTTAGCCATCAATTCTAGCCATCACTTACTCTATCATATAATGCGAAAACCCGTTCGATATCTTCTTTATTAAGTTTTGTCGCGCCTTTGAAGGCGTTTCGACACAAGAAGTTTTCTTTCACTGGAAGAAGCCTACCATCACATCAACCAAACAATCACTTCATATTATAACTCAATTTAACAATATATTCAATCATATATTATATTATTTAAATTGATATTTATGTTAAACTTAAGATAAATGTTATTTTATATACATTTTTAAATTAAATTTTAATTTAATAATAACTGAATGTATAATTATATTTTAATGCTATCAATAACGAATTTATTTGGATTTAAGACAAGATTTGTGGCAAAATAATAATAAATCGAAAAAATGAATCGTTTTTATAGCAATTTAGTGTAAGGAATGGTTTTGACGGCAATCTCTATATACAGTATTAGGTCTACTCTTATCTCTCCTATAATACTGTATAAGAATAACATTATCTACAAATTGATTCGTCGGACTATTCCTCACATCAATGCAAACCGTTTTGGCTAAACATCTAAACGATAATATATTTATCTCGAAGAATGAGGCCTCGATTGCAGACTAATCTTTCAATTTGTTAACTGATTTTGACAATTAATGTACGAATGAATACAAGACATATAAGAAAAGGAATAAAGATGCAAAACCAAAGGCATTGGTTTAACTACAGTATACATTGTATGTATTGGTGAAATCACTCACTTTGCCATTTCACTCAATTGTAGTTTTCCGTCTTTATTAGAGTCAAAAATATTGAGTAAAGTATCCGTATATTCAATGAGTTTGTCCTCATCTATAGCTTCGCGTTTCGCTTCTTTCAGCAAATCTTTTAGAAAGTTCTGTCAAAAAGAGTCAACAAATGAAAAACACTTCCAAAAAGAATTTTAGAAATTTATTAAATTGTTCACATTATATACTGTAATGGTTTAGTTGTCCTGTAATTAATTAGTTTTGGTATTTAATACCTTTAACTCATCCGCTTCTATATACCCACTGCCGTCGGTATCATATTCTCTCCAAATCTAATTAGTTGTCATTAAAAGTAATTTAAACTTTAATTAAAGTGATAATAAAACTCTCGGCCGAGTCTTCAAACCTTCATAAACTCGACGCTCGATTCCAGAGGATTATCGAAACGGAAGAGAAGCAAAAAACTCTCTTCGAGTGGCAGGAGTTGTGCCAACTATTGGTTAAATTCAATATTAATTTCAATTGAAATGTTTGAGTAAATCTAATCCGTTAGTGAGTGGGGAGTCTATTACACACACTATATGTGCAAATATGTCTTTATTTTGCAAACAAACACTTACTTCACGTATTTCTATCTTTCCATCCCTATTGTCGTCGTACGCCTCCATAAAACACTCCTTCAGCTCCGCAAACATCGATTCCGACACCACCTAAACGTGTATTTTTATACATTATATTATCATTTATCAAATATCAAACTTTTCATTAATTATCTAATTAATAAATTTTTCATTAAAAGATCATTAAAATTTTTCAAGTTTTTCAAAAACAAGTTAATTATCATAATTTAATAACTCATATATTGTATGTCTGCCTCTTTAGTCACTATCAGTGATAAGTGTAATTCGAGTTTCAATTTATTATAATTGCATTTTATAATATATAGTTTGAGAGAAATACATAAATTTGTTGATTAAGTTAAATGAAATCTTTATTGTTATTCATTGCAGTCGAAAGTAATTTAATTAATTGAAATAAATTATTTTACTATAGTTTAGACATTATTAGAATAGCTTTGAGAGACATTAAACGTTAAATTCTCTGTTTAATGATTAAAACATAAATATAATAGTTTAACATATCATAAGAGGACTACCTATTAATGAATATCATATTTTAACTGTTAAATTATTATTTGTATTGTTTTCAAAGCGTTTTTATTAAATATTCTGCAAAAACTATTATTAATAAATAATAAAATGGATTTCAAAATATATTGTTAATAGAATATAATAATATTTAAATAGATAAAGAATTATATGAATTATAATTATATTATTGGTATAGATTTGTGCAAAAACTGCTCGAATATAATGCAATCTTACGATTCTCTCGACAAATGGCTTTCATTATGATTAGCGACAAATCGTTCATTACATGCAAACTATGATTGATATGATGATAGAGTTTAGTGGGCATTACCTCCGGTCCGACATCAGTAGTGTTGACAGAACTGACGAATTCCTTAAGGAAATTATCGA